ACTAAATCAATATATAGCAATTATTTTTATAACGCGATTTTTATAGCCATAACAATTTAGGAGTAAAATGACTATCTACGTATTATATATTTCTTTCATCGCATTCGTATAACTTTAGAGATATCGATTTATTCGAAATTTTATTTATCTTCAATGGATGACACTCTGCATCATCAATTTTAACAATTAATTATTCAACTACATTACGCATAATTTTTTTAATGAAATTGAAATTGAAGAGCTTTAGAGATTTGAAATTATTGCGATAAGTAAACGTGCATTAATATTCGTGATATTCATTTGTTATTGAAAGTCAAAAGTTGATCTTTGATTGTACAGTTTACGAATTTATATCAAACTTAAATTTCAAGATTTTCAGCACACGTTCCAATTTAACGTATCTATCTTGCTTCTAACGCATCATCGATTTTGCCGCGTCATTGATAAAGTAAAAGTTCGAGTCTGTCTGTGACAGAGGATCGACAATTGAAAGGACTAAAAACTATTTCGTGTGTAGGAGTCAGTTAACAATTAAAAGGTGACAAAGGTGACAAGTGTATGACATTTCCACGATTGCGCTCATCATAACGAATGTGGGAAGTAATCGAAATAAAATGGAAAAACTGACAGATTAATATAAACAAGAAAGATATTTGCCATGTTATTAGAAGTCTGAATATTTTCTGTGTGTCTATAGCGATGGGTATTGTGTAGCTTTTTGATAACATTAATTTGGATATAAGATCCCATCTTGAAAGATGGCATGATTGCGACTTTAAGAAGAAAATTTTCTTTAAACGAAGTTTCGCGAACGAGAGAAATGCAACGAAATATTCTTTATGGTCATAACGTGGATCTTACCGATAAAGGATAATCCCATGTGTTCCATGAATTCTAATCTGCTAACAAATTTTAGGAATATGTTTCCGCTTTCGTAATTGCCAACTAAAAATAGCTTTTCAACGCAGAACAATATAATCCTTCTTGTTTAAACTTAACAAGTTGTTTGATATATATTCTTAAATAAATTTGGATGTATTTTCCGATGTTGCAAAACTCGAACAATTATTTATTAACACGAATTTAACAATTGCATGATTAAAATGTGAATCTTTAAAAGACGCAATCTTTATTTCCTTTGCATAGTAAATTTATAAAATACGATAAAAGAAAATTTCAAACGCTTAAATTTTAAATAACTTTTCTTTGATATTTACAAGAAAGATGTTTTTATCCTTAGAATTAAGTACTTCGAATAAGTAAATTACTGGATATTTAAAGTAATTTTTATTTTAGATAATTTAGATATTTAGTAAATTTAGGTAATCTTTAGACAATACAAGAGAAATTAAATGGACATCTAAATAATGAAGCATTTCAATGAATCTTTTATTTGTAAATCCATATAAATGTTTTTCTTTTTTTTTTTTTTTTTTTGTAAGAGAAGAACACAAGTATGCACTCCGATTTCTGCTGGAACGTTGTGTGCAAACTCAGTACTTTCACATTTCTTTTGCTTTACGACTGCGCCTGACCCGATTAGAAACATCAAGGCAGAAAGAGAGAGAATAAAATTTTATTTCTTTTTCTTTCAAATAATCCCAATTAGAATCATTTATTTTGTAATGAACTCACAGAAAAATAAATAGAACGGATAAATCGTTTTTTGTACTGAACAAAAATTGATTAACACTATTAGATTGAGATAGTCCATTTTGCAATTACAGCTAGCACATTGTGATTTCTAAAAAATTTGATGACTCAAAATAAGACTGTATATTTGTCTTGATAGTTGGATTAAAATAAAAAATTAGATTTTACACATAAATTAATTTTTAAATATTTTTAAATATTTTCACAGTATGATCAAAATTAATTAATTAATTATTATAGAATTAATTATTATATATCATTATATATATATATATATATATATATTAATTATTATAATCAATATTACGGGATTTTTCATATTTAATTAATATTCAACGTTTGAATAATACTATTATGAGTCTACTATTTATATAAACGTATTTATATATATAATATATTTTTTATAGCTATTTGTTCTAAAACTTAAATAATAAATATTATAAATTTTCTATATTTATTAAAGTATTTTATAAATTGTTGAAACGCAGTAATCACATAATATACAACACAATTCGCCGAACGAAAAGTGTTGTATAAATATGTGCTGTCGGAATAAACCTAACTTTAGTAATGCTGCTGAAACATTCATTCAATGTTTTATAAAGTATAAATACGTCGATGGATATACGATGAAAATCCAAGCCGTTAAAGCACGAGTTTACAAAAGAAGAATCAAGATGCTGTTGTACATTTTGCGTGACAATCCTTCGAACGGCGAAAAACTTGGATATCTCGAAATGAAACTCTCGACTGTATGCGAGGCAGGCTGGAAAGTTGTAACGCGTTGAAAAAAGCCTGCCACTTGATGGAAACACGACATTTCAAGAACAAAAGGACTATTTTATTTGATAAAATTCTTTTATTCTAATTTGCAATTATTTGCATTTTAAGTTAATTAACTCCCGCTAATTTTGCCGTTTATGTCGGCAATCTGCTTTATATAAATAAACATTCTTTGTAATGCAATAAAGTTAGAAAAAGAAGATATATTTTCACCTATATATTCATCTATATATTGCACAATATTTTTAGATAT